GGGGGGGTATCGAGAACACATTTCCTGCAATGGGGTTGAACATGCCAGTGTTACACGATGTCAGATTAAAGCACTGGCGTCTGGCGGGCGTGTTCAAATTTCAAAATTCACTGGATCCTGAATCGGAGGTCGCAGGAAACGTGTTATCGGAGAGCTATCTCTATGTTACGTGTAATTAAACAGAGAGTTCAAGTCTCACACGCTCACTCCCAAGTGCCAAGTCCCACCCGTTACATGAAAAAAGGGTAAAAAAAAGCAATTGATTGTGATGTTTGGACTTTGGACCATGTTTGTTGTTTTATTGCACTCGAATCCCCTTTTAGAAAAAAGGGCATATACAATGGGCTACCTATCCCATTTAATAACGAATACGCCAGTGGGCTCCACATCTTCACTATTCACTCTGGGTTGGTTATACAAGGATCACTCACGTGTCGCTCTTCACTCGTAAAATAATAGCCGCTTGTATTGCTCTTAACTCTTAACTAGGGGCGCTCACGATTTGATTAATTGCGACTTTATTTTTAAACCGAACCGATATTATTACTTTTTCAAAATTAAACCCAAGTCAAGTCAATTGGTTGATCAGTTCATCGGTTTGAATTTTGATCAATTCAATTCTTTATTTTTTATATTTATAATATATTATAAATTTATATATAATATACAATATATTATATTATAAATAATAAATAAGATATTACATATTCTGAATATGTATTTATAATATATCATATTAGTTAACTAAACCTGAACCAATCAATACTGTTTTTTATGTGTTTTTTCCAAATTGGTTCAGAGGGGTCGGTTTAAGGCCGGTCTATCCTCTGAACCACTTATCAACCCGAAACACCCCCTGTAAAGGTGTATTAGGAAGCCTTTGATACGATATGTATTGGCTAATACGGGCTGATACGTGACAAAATTTTGATCCTTGGTTTTTGGGTTTTTAGTAAACATCTCTAATTTTCACTCCTCTTCCAATTTGAGAAGATGAAGATTGGATCAGATTCAGATCACCCTTAAATTTTAAAGAAAACAAGTTGAATTGGATCAGATTCAAATATTCAACTTACTAATAAGATTCAAATTCAAATTGAGACTTATCAGATTCAATCAGATTTTCAAATTTGATCAAATGTACCATGAATAATATCAGATTGGATTCGAATATACTGATCCTTTTGCATTCCTATATGAGCATATATATGATGGATGTGTGCAAAATCCACAAAAAAGAAAAGATTTTAGCTTGTTGTGACCCCACCTTGATGTCACTCTATAATTCAAGGTTGGGCCACAACAACACATCAAAGGCTGCAATTTCACGATTCCAGTCTTAGGTCTAAAACCATCTCATAGCTAAAGTGGTTTGTAATTGATTGCCTTGCTTTCATTCTTATACTAACCCCACTAATTAGATTTAATGTATTTATTGCACCTTTTCTTTGTGGGTCGAAGTTATATTATATTATATTAAATGAAAAATAATAATAATAATAATAATAATAATAATAATAATAATAATAATAATAATAATAATAATAATAATAATAAAAGCTGAAGAATTACTCAAATTAAATGAAAAATTATCATGTAAGCAACATTTATGTGGTTATTTCATGGTAAATTTACATGTTTTTTTTTTGTTTTATAATAAAAGGGCCTCATTTGTTTTTAGATAAATGGAGGGAGAAATTGATCAATGAAAACAATCCTATTTTCACTTTTCGATAATTGTGAGTTTCATGGTAAATTGATTTTCCTATTCAAGTAAATTATACTAGGAAAAGTTACCAAAATATTATAGGACAAAATTGTGCCTTCGGATAAAAAAAATTTATAGATAAAAATGATTAATTATTTGAATAAGTACATTTACCTGTAGAAATGATTTACATGAATGGATGATGTTAAAAATAGAAAAGAGAATCTATTAATATGTAAATAATATAATTATATTTATCAGGCAAAGAAGAAGAAGGAAGAGTATGGAAAGCTGGAGAAGACCAAGATGAGTATATGGGAATGTTGTGAGCTGCTGAATGAATTTGTGGATGAAAGTGATCCGGATCTGGACGAGCCCCAGATCGAACACCTTCTGCAGTCGGCTGAAGCCATACGGAAGGACTACCCTGACCACGATTGGCTTCATCTCACCGCGCTCATCCATGGTTTCCCCACCCGTCCCATTAATTAATTTCTCTAGTCTGGGTTGGGTTGTTATGTATCGACTTATCTCCTTAATCACTGTCCTCTCTGATCTGTGTGCAGACCTGGGGAAAGTTCTGCTGCACCCTTCATTCGGTGGAGAGCCTCAGTGGTGTGTTGTAGGTATGTCTGATCTGTCCAGGGCCTCTCCTCTGTACCATTCGTACCTAGGTCCAGAAATAATTGCAGCTATATGCATTATTCTAAAATGTTCTTCCTTGTGCGTACGTAGGCGATACATTTCCTCTTGGATGTGCATTTCATGAATGCATCGTCCATCATCAGGTAAAAATAAATGCACTCTGCATCTGCACCACAGATTATAGAATTAACGATATTCCATGAATGAAATCATCATGATTTCAGGACTAACGTTTAATTAACTTTATTAATTTACTTTTGGTTTGAACTTTGAAACGGGCCGGGGAGATCAGTACTTCAAGGGAAACCCGGACCACCAGAACCCTACCTTCCGTACAAAGTTGGGCATCTATTCGGAAAACTGTGGGCTCGATAAAGTCACCATGTCCTGGGGACATGACGAATACATGTACCTGGTAACTAAGCTAAATTATCTTCTCACAGCAACAGGGCTAGGTATCATTATTTTGTGGTATAACTAATTTGGGACTAAATTGCCAGGTGGCAAAGGGAAATAAGACCACTCTCCCTCCGGCTGCTCTCTTCATCATCAGATTTCATTCCTTCTATGGTAGGTCCTGGTACAATTAATGCTGCATTTACTTACTGGGTATGTGACTTGGACTTGTTATGACGGTGCTTGGTTTTGGAATGTCAAGCGTTGCACCGCTCGGGAGCTTATACATACCTAATGAATGATGATGACAAGGAAATGCTCAAGTGGCTCCAAGTGTTCAGGTACGTACGGATCTCGTTTATATTAGTTCACGTGGCTAGAATGCAATGCACAAATATAATTAGGGGTGTAAATGGATCTAATTCAAATTGGATCAGACAATATTTGAATTCGAATCTAATTAAAAAATTCAATATTCGAATTTGATTTGATATTCGATGGATATTGAAAATTAATATTTAAATTCGAATTTGATTAAATATTCGAATATTTGGTTAATTAATTATTTTAGATAATTAATAAATATATAAAATAAATATTTTATTAATATAAAATATATAAATATATACATTATTTATATAACTTAATTATTATATATAAATTATATAAAATATTTTATATATTATATATAAGAATTAAATAATCGGTCGAATTCAAATATTTATCAAATTGAATCAGGTCATATCTGAATTCGAATCCGATTAATTATTCGATATGAATAGAATATTCAAATTCAACTGATTAGATATTTGAATAATCCAAATTCAATTTTGATTATATCGAATATAATCAAAATTGTTGAATACCATTTACACCCCTAAATATAATGATTTGCATGGTTTCTCTAACGATCCGATGTTGGTGTGGGGCAGCAAGTATGATCTCTACAGCAAGAGCAATGTTAAGATTAACCAGGAAGAAGTGAAAGCCTACTACCTCTCACTCATCGAAAAGGTTACTTCTTGCTTTCAATGACCTCGCTGCCAACGGTCTTTTACACTTTGTTCAGTAAAAAATGGTTTCTAAGTTTCTCTCTGTCTACGAATTCTTTGTGCAGTATTTCCCTGCCAAGCTCAGATGGTGATGAAAAGACAATACAAGAGCATTACAAGTGGTGTGGTAGTGCCGACTGCCGGTGCCGGTGGTTAATTTGTATTGGGCCATATCCCCTTTTCCCATTCAGCCCCTTTTACACTTTGCCCTTTAATTTCTTTTCGCTAGTTTGATGGCTGAAACATGTGCGAGTGTGAATGTGATAGGAGACCAAAATAAGTGGTTGATATATTTCTGTTTATTGTGTGATTTATTTAAATAAGCATTGGTTATTTACATAGCTTTGTTGTAATGTATAAATGGTTTATTATATTAATTATAATAAAAAATGGTTTGTTAATTAATGGATCTTTATCTAATGTTCTGTTTTTTTTTGGTCAATCTGCTTGCACTCTTCCAGCCAACTTGACCAGCAAGTTCGCCATCTCTTCATAGAGAATTATTTGTTCACAAAATTCTATTACCCAAGTAGCTAGGTTAATAGCCTTTAGGTGGTAGGTAATATAAGCTCAAATCTGGTCTGTGCATCAACAGTGAAGAGTAGCTTTAGCTTTATCTGGTTGGATTTCTCGACTAACTTCTGTTGCTGGTTTTCACGGAAATAACAACCACTGTCTCATTAAGTCACTATTTCTTAAAATAGACAATGTTAGCTTCCATATTCAGTACTCACATCCTATTGCCGTGCGTGCATTGTAAATATCTTCCCATCCAAGTATGAAAATATTCTCAATAATCTACCCTTGCAGATATATACAGAAGGTATTTATAAGATTTGAACCCTGATCACCTAAATTGCAATGCAATGGCATGGAACAAGAACAACCCAACTGTTGCACCCAGGCCCACGGCCCACCCTCTATCCAATCTAATCCTCTCTCTTTTATCTGTAATTGGAATCATTTAATAAGTTTTCAAGTTTCATCAAAGTAGTAATTACAAGAAACATCGACAGCATTAATGTAAGCTTGCCCATAATAAGTTGGAAGTTGGAACTCTCCACACGGGCCAAATGGGCCAAAAAGGGGTACGGAAGTTGGAACTCTCCACTTGTACGTATGGCCAGAGCATTTAGGCGGTGATGCTCAAATTCTATTATGGTTTAATTATTAACACGGGCTTTAAACCTGGTTTGTCCAATTCTAACAGATGCAGATGGATGAGGTTTATGTATATTTTGTTTGTCCTGAATCAAAGTGGCCGCGCCCGGGCATGGCACTGCCAAATTAAATCTAACCCAGGTAGGTTCTGGTTTGGAACTTTCAAGCCTTAGATAACCTGATGATCCAAAATGTATATTTTGTTACTAACAGATGCAGATACATGTTAGTAAATAAATACTTCAGATTCATTTGCATTTTCCATGCCCAAATTCTACAATTTTGGCCTTCAAATGGGCGTTTTTCGAAAAGCTATCCATTCATATTAAGTTATGTATCTTAGTCATTTAGTTGGTTTTACCTAAAAAAAAACAAATCCATTAGAAAGAGAATTGAGACAAAAATTGAGTAGATAGTATTGTCTTGTGAAGAAAATTGGGAAAAATGACAAACTTAGGGTACTACATTTCTAGTCACCCAAAAGTAGTAAGATAAAAATCCACTTGATTTGTACAAGAATGAAACTAGGAAGTCTATTTGTTTTATTAGCTTTTCGTTTTAATCTTTTTTTTTTTTATTTTGCCCGTAATTACCAAAATGCTCTTCTCATATTATTTTAAACTTGAAAGACAAAATATAATAAACCTTTTTTTTTTTTTTTGCATTAAATAACTCAATTGTGGTGGGTTTTGAAGCTTAGAAAGAGACATGAGCCTCGAGCCTTGGGACAAAAACCTAAAGCCTTTTAAAACTATGATGGTAAGTTGATGGGTTGGTATTGAAGACACATCCATCCGAACGGTCACGCATTTGTCATCCCTAATCTCCTAAGCAATAGTTTGAAGCAGTATGAATCGGATCGATTAAATATTGAATGGAGAAAGGGTTTTGCAACAGTTATTCTTTACCGACCTTAAGATGTTGATTAGTGATTTTGAGGCTTGTAAGGTGCAAAGATGCAACCTAGAAAATTTTGATGGCCCAGATTATTGTGAAGACAATGATAGCAAGATTCTCTAATCTCTAATCAGAATGATTCATCATAAATTCTGTTTCTCGGTGAGGAATTTGACACAGAGAGTTCAGTCCACTATAATTAATGGTCCATCTGTCTCTAAGGCTCCATTTGGAAGAAATACAAATATAAATATGTTGAGTGCAAAATTTTATATTTCATATTATTTTGTTTGAATTTATACTATACATATTTGTATTTTTACTTTTTCCAAACTGAGTTCCGGACAGCCTGAATCCCTAACGAGTTTAAGACCTATTACTCACTCTTTGCGGCCTCTAGCGAGTTCCAGAAACATCATATACTGTGATGTCAAGGCATGATAAACACAAGAGAAACAGCCCCGGAACCGGAATTCATTGCACGAGGTGATTTGAACTTGACAAGGCTCCATTTGGAGAAGCTTTTGCTTTTGTGTTTTGCGAGACAAAATTGAGTCAAAAATGTGTTTTTGTGTGTTTGCTATGAATTGCTTTTAAAAACACAAGTACATAAACAGATAATTTGAAGCCCCATTTTTGAGCTTAAAAAGCACAAATACTCAAATTTATCCAAATGCAACATTAGTTAGCTGTGATCACTGGAGTTTATTTAAAAAAATCATCCCTATGTGTTGTGTTGTTCTCAGTTCTCTCTTCAGGCATAATAGTGCAACTTGGGTCAGGTTGGGTTCAATGGGCCGAATCCTAACCCAAAACCAATATAGTTGAAATTCTTCAAATCCGACAACCGTCCTTGCAGCTTAGGCGGAGACCGGACACGAAAATTTAAACTAATCATAGTAAACCAAAGCCATAACGTCTGTTTTCTCGGTTGAATCTCATTTTAGCCAGTTATATCCCGTTTCTGCTCACAGTAAAATCCACAATCTTATGATTCTATATGGTTTTAATTTGTCTTAATCTTAATCCAATTGTAATCATGAGAAGCACTGCTACATAAACTATTAATATCTCTCTCTCTCCCCCTCCAAACTTTGGTTGGTTTCCTTATCTCATATTGATTAAACTAATGTAATCAGTACCAAGTATCCAATATACTTATTTTTAAGTTGCTTGCGTTAATTCATTGCCAGTTGAAATAAAATAAGAATAAAGGCAAGAAAGACTCCTGACCTATATTGACTTAAGTTTTGTAATCTAGCTCTTTACTGGCTTAGTGCACAACTAAGAAAAGGCACGTTGTCAAATGCAGTGAGAAGAAGAAAAAACGAAGGAGGAAGAATTCAGCAACAAATGACCCAGAAAACCACCACCACCATTACTAGTGCTACTGTTATTATTATGCTTAGCTGCTATTGCTACTACAAGCAAAGATATTCCGGAAATCAATATATGAAAATTAATGGAAGAACCAGCTTCTCATAACATGGCTGTCAAATTCTTGTAGTTGCTATTATGGGACTCATAATTTGTCCTTGTACATTATAGAGGGAATCAGAAACCACCATTAATGTGCATCCACAGAAAAGTAAGAGTGAAATGATGATCCTTCTAGCCACGGCCACTCTCCAAGCTGAAATCTGCCAGTAAATATACGGTTTTACTATTTCTGTAGCCTCAACAAGCCAATCTTTTTCCCTGTGTCTACTTGTTGCTTATACTAACACGGTTTTGTTACCTAAAGGAAAACAACCTTGGACAATACTCCTTGTGAACTTCTGCTCTCCTTTCATTGTCAAAGAATAGATAAGACCTGAGAAGAACTGAAGTGGATGTTTGGGCCCATTTTCTGGTGTGATATGTTTCAACCTCTTGTCCAGGTGGAGCACGATAAGAGGTCATCACCTCGGGCTCATCTATCTAAGCCCATATCCTACTAAGTTGGCATGGGTTAGCACTATGGTTGCCATCATGCTAATTAACCTGAGTGGATCCATCTTTGCCGACTTGGGTTGGGCTGAATAACTTTGGGGAGGAATTAGGCTTATGATGGATTAACCTTGGGGATATATTGATGAGGTTTTCCTTGTTGGAACATGTAACCAGGTCTGCAGAATCCAATTGGCTATACTGAAAGCTAAATCTTACCACTGGGGTGGAGCGGCCCGCTTTAGCCAAATAAGCACAGCGAAAGGCTTTGAGCTTAGCTCACTAACCACAAAATTGAACTAGAGCCTGTCCGTTACCGTGAACCGAGCTAGTATCAGTCGTTTTCTTTTGTTTCTTGAAATGGAAAAACAAGATTAGAGTTTTGGGTTAAGTGACTTACAATTAGTTGGATTTTGGCAGATTACCTCTAGTAAGTTAGCCAGATTACATTTTTTTTTCTTTGTATTGTATATTTGGCAAATCTTTTCGCATTGTCTTTCGGGTTACAAAGTTCGAAGGACCAAAATTTGATTTTTTTTTTTTTTTTTCCCATTTGATAACAAAAGACGGATGAACCCCAAAAAACTGACGGTCACAGAAGCCTAAAATGGCTGAAAATTGGAAGCTTCAAAAGATTTCTATATATCATTATCAAATGTGCTTGGTCTTGAAAGTCAACCTCCAAAAAGCTTGATATGTCTTTTGGTTTGCTGGGCTGTGGAAAATCTACTTACAAAAGACTTGGCAAACAACCCCAAAATTTTTAATTCCAGGGCAAAACTGTCCAAATACATAGCAAATCTGGCTGACTTGTTTAATGGGCAAATTCCATTTCCATTAGTTGATAAAGTGTCGTGGCAACTAAAGTTCTGTTTGGTAGGCTGGAGTTACCTAATGGCCTCTCTCTCTCTCTCTCTCTATTGATCTAAATGATAGTTGTTTGGGCATAAATACTCTAAGCTACTTATTTTCTTTTAGTGCCTTTTCTACTTGAAGGTCGTATATGTCTTAAGCGAAAATTCCAACGATTGCCATCTAAGTGAAGCACAAAGCCACACATCGAAAGAGGCAACAAGCAAGGCCTTAATAAAATCATAGTACCAGACATTAACATAATATACTAAATTGGGTCTGAGAAGTTCCAAAAGCCCAGTAATAACCCGCATTCAATCATCAAAATAGCAATACTTGTATGGTTGTGTGGGCGGGCCTTGATGGGCTAATTCCACTACAACCGGCCAGAGATATTACCAACTGGGTCAGTTTCTCAGTTAGCATCGTCCTTTGGTGATTGAATTCCATCAATTAATGAGCGACCCTTGTATTATTGCACCCAGCAGGCACTCTCCCTCCCTGTCATGCATGTTAAACAACTAAACCTGTCTTATCTCATAGTTGGTGAAATTCTAACGGTGTTGGGGCAAGGAGACAACTTCTTTGATTGATTCCTTTTTGGCCCTCTCACTAAAATGAACCCCGGTTACCGGGATAGACCTCTTTTTCCGGACTCTTCACCTGGCCCGGTTGGTTAACTACTGTTTTTGCCCCATTTCATCACATCTCCATTGATCCCAATTCCCGACCGTCCAGAGAAAGTGGAAGAACATGACAACAAAATCAATCTCCACTTCACATTGAATCACTTTCTTTATGGGTTTCTCAAATGTTCCAAAAATAGGTTACAGGGAGAGTTCATTTAAACTGAACTAAATACTGTTTGTATGGATCTTTTCAGGGTGGGCCCATGAACCCATAACTTATTTTTATTCTTGCCACGCGTCATTTCTTTTATGGTCCTAGTACGTGGTTCAGTGACCATTGAGATGAGAATTACCCCTGTTCGATTCACCTTTTTTTTTTCCCTAACCCTCTTTCCTTTTTCTTAAAGTTTCAGTGGCATTCAATTTCATCCCCATGCTTTGTTGAGTTGCTCAGCCTTTCACTTTCCTAAGAACATGCCACTAGATTCCCGATATCCCGTTTATGTTGACACCTCACTCCCACTGAAACGTTGCTTTCGTCATAAAATCACTTCAACCGTCCCCTAATAAAAAACCCTAGACCCTCTTCGATGATCTCCAGACATCACTTAAAATGGGGCCAATTGTCCACCCAACGGTGATTTACGAAGCCACGTCACCCATATAATCATAAAAAAGCACGTGGCAGTTGAAGGAGCATTCCCTGTTCGGGATCTATTCTAACGAGAAGATAGGGTTTTTAGTTTTTATTCCCCTTGAATTCTGGTTCTTTGCGAGCCGAGTTTTGCACTTGTCCAAGCCTCCTTAGGATAACCAGAAGTCCAGAAAGGAACCGTCTCTCCTTGGTCCCATAGTTACCGTATTTTGGATAAGAGAAATAGAGAGGGGGGAAAGAAGAAAAAGCCAGGATAAAGCAGCGTCAAAATCACGCGAATCTCCATAGAAAAAGGCACGGACATTTCACGACACGCGTTCAAATCGCCGGGATGAATTCAGTCATGTAGGCCTGGCGTGTCACCTGAATCAAATCTACACTGGACACGTGTATCGATGAAAACTGAGATGGTCCGAAAACACGTGAAGGCGTGACACGTGGAAATAAATCGTACCGCCTTATCTACTGGATCTTCTCGTACGGCGGTCCCATTCTACACTCTGTTTTTTGTCCGAACCCCGAAGGACCGTATAAAAGCCCATGTGTCTCCCCTCCTTTCTTCTATGCCTCTCCTCTTCACCTTGCATTCACGTGACTTCGCCTTATCATCTGTTTGTTGCTTTGACAGGTTTACCCCTGAATGTTTGTTTCCAAAGTATCATATCATAATCCCCTGTTTAATTTAAAAATATATTGGCCTTCTAGAAAATTTTAAAATAAATTTATCGTTAACGAAAATATTTGAAATATTACGACATGGAATATAATGTGTGGGGTCCATCAAGGACCGTAAATCTGACACATTGATCTTAACCAAATTGACGGTGTAGTTATAAGAAATTATTACAATATTATCGACGGTAATAGAAGTTGAAGATGGGTCATTGGGCCCATAGGCCCATATCCACTTATGAGTTATGACGTGTCTAAATGGATTAAGATGTCTATCCGCTCCAGTTCCAGCCAGGCAGCCCCCACCAACACCAAGCAAGGAAACAGCAGTCTTCAAAAGCAAACTTGCGGGAATACAGAGGGCATTTATGTAATGCTGATTGCTTGCCGGTGGATTTCGGGCAGTTTCCGTACTATCATAATGCGTTCTAAATGCGGGCTATGGACTCAGTTGAAGTGTCACGTTACCTTACAAGCGTACGTTAGTTTTAAAAGGATCTGGCGTTCTAGGGTGCACTGTGACCGGCAGAACACCTTAGGACGCGAAGGAACCGACTCCCCACTCGAGATCGATGAGAAGCAGTGACGTGCAGCGCTTTTAATGGGCCGATGCTCCTACCGGTTCAGAACCGCCAGGTGTAATGCTGGATATTTCCAGCTTACGCCTTATGCGCACGGCTGCTTCCCTCTTTAACTTACACGTGTCCCACTAACTGTACCGTATCAATGTCTTTTTCGGAATTTTCCCACCATAAAAATATCGCGTTCCGATATCTCGTCGAATTATCCTGAATAAATATCTTTGGAGTACGAGATCTGCTCCCGACTTCTCGCGTGGCATCCACCGCCTCAAAGAGTAAATTATTGTTTTAACCGTAGTGGTAGTGGGAGACCGGGAGCAGAGTTCGTAGATTTTTTATCTAACCATGGTTAGATTAACTCAACCGTGGTTAAGGACCCGCCATCGACCAGTTTATAATCCACCACCGAGCATTTGTTGAAACGTATTAATGTCTGAACAACTCTGAAGACAAAGAAACTCAACACGATGATGATCGGAGAAGTAAACACACCAAATCCCACTGTCCATGTCCCTCCTTGGACCCTCTTCGATGATTCTGCAGCCGGGATGCAATTTCCCCTCCCTGTAAGCGGTGTCTCTATGAACGCTAGCGGCAATGCCAACGGGACCGTAGGTGGAGGGGGTGATTACTGCCCTTTCATTTTGGGCGACTCTCTGGCCTCTCTTCAACGTTATCTCCCATCGAATGACGTCGATGCTGACTCCGACATACCGGGCCGTGAGTCCGATATGCCGATTAACGCGCACACTTGTGACGAGTTCCGAATGTACGAGTTCAAGGTCCGCCGCTGTGCACGTGGCCGTTCTCACGACTGGACAGAGTGCCCATATGCTCATCCCGGCGAGAAAGCTCGCCGTCGTGACCCGCGTAAGTTCCACTACTCCGGCACTGCGTGCCCTGACTTCCGCAAGGGCAACTGCAAAAGGGGTGATTCGTGCGAGTTTGCTCATGGCGTATTCGAATGTTGGCTCCATCCGGCGCGTTATCGCACGCAGCCCTGTAAAGATGGGACGAGTTGCCGCCGTCGGGTGTGCTTCTTTGCGCACACGCCCGAGCAGCTTAGAGTGTTGCCCCAGCAAAGTCCTAGAGCACCGGTTTCGCCCGATTCATACGATGGATCACCGCTTCGTCAGGCTCTGGATTGTTACTTCCCCAAGGGTTCCCTGATATCTTCCCCAACTTCTACACTGATTTCTCCTCCCGTGTCACCACCATCGGAGTCTCCACCCATGTCGCCCAACAGCCCGTCATTCAGTCGGCTTTTGGGTTCCAACCCCATCAATGATGTGCTGACGTCCATGCGCCAGTTACAGCTCAGTAAAGTGAAGTCGGCACCCTCCTCCTGGGGTGTTCAGGTTGGTTCTGGATTTGGTTCGCCTCGGGGTTCTTCTCTGCGACCGGGGTTCTTTAGTTTGCCTTCAACTCCCACTCGTACCCCGACTCGTTGTGGACTCGGGTACTTCGATGCATGGGAGAGAGGTACAACCGTTGAGGAGGAGCCAGCCATGGAGAGGGTGGAGTCGGGGCGAGATCTGCGGGCGAAGATATACGAGAAACTTAGCAAGGAGAATTCGCTGGACCGAGTGGAATCGCCGTCACCGGCCCCCGATGTTGGGTGGGTGTCGGAGCTTGTGAAGTGAATGCGGTTTTGAGCTCGGCGGTCCATCTTACTTCTTTTGGTCAATGATTAATATTTTGCTTCAATCCATTTGGGTTCATTCGGTTGCCCTAATTTTTTAGATTGTGAATATCGAGAAGAATGTGGAGAAGATGAACGATGAAGTGAAGCAGCTGCTGCAGCAGTAACTGAAGATTCCTGTAAATATTTCAGAGGAAGCTCTGTCCTGGGTATTCTGAGAATGGTCAGAAAGAACTTTGAAGAAAAAAAAATCTCCAAGTTGTATAGAGAAGTATTTGTTAGGGCTGCCGGAGACGGGTAGCGTTTGATTATGAATCATCTCTTTTTTGCTATTTTTAATCCTTACTTGCGATTTCTTTTGGTTATTCCTCAATCCTGATTCAGATATCTGTAATCTGAAACTGTTATGTTCTTATGTTAAAGCCATTAATGTAATATAATATTTTTTGCCACTCGATGCTTAGAATTTCAGGGTTGAATGTGGAATTTCTGACATGTAAAAGGATTCTGGACTAGAAAAGGGGGGTATTTTTGGAAGTTGAGATTTGGGTAGTTGATTTGTCAAAGGGCATGGCTTCCCTGGGAAGACTTTTTTGATTTGGTGTCCCTCTTACTAGATCTCTTCTGACCCACACATGCGGTCGAGTCTATTTTGACCCTTTCTTGAATCAAAATCTATGTTCTGGTAACCCAGGGAAAAATAAAGAAATCCAGATGATCTGATTTGGTCTAATCCTTTCGGTCGAGAACCGGTCCCACCCACTGTATGGATGGATGGGATTCCCTTTAAAAATTTTAATAATGATATGGATATGGATGGATGGAGCTCTGGTATGGGGGAGGAAGCTGTGGAGAGAGAGAGAGAGAGAGAGGACGACCATAGTTTCTTCACTTCATCTATTGTGTATTTAATTAACCCTTCCAACACGCAAGAGTACAGGGGTAAGTGATGCCGATTAATAAAATTTAGTCCATGGAGCTTCTGCTTAATTTTTTCCTTTAGTATGGAGAAAACGTCTTTTCACGTGGTTAAAGCCAAAGACTCGGTTCGTCTTTGCTTGCTTTTTGGAGAGAGAAAATGCTTTTGTAAAGGGATAAGAAGACGTCGGGGGGCGTAGAGATGAAGAAGATCGCGAAGCATCTGTCATTTTGTTATCATTTTTTTTTTCGGTTAAATTTCTCTAGTTTATTCTATTTTTTTTGATGGTACGGTTTGGTGGGTGATATTTATCCATTTGTGCTTGCGTGTCAGTTGGGATGGGATATGACAAAAATGTCCTCGGTTCTCCATCCATCACTATCCCCTATCCCCATGTGTCCTACTCCAATCGATTGGCGTTTCACGTGATTCTGGTCGTTCGATGTGTAGACTTCTTTTTCTCTCTCGTCGTGATGTCCAAAATGGAGCCTGACTCCTGAGTGAAGAGAAGTTTGGATTGTAGCGGCCAAATCTCAAACAAAGCTCAGTTGTTTGGACACAAGATCCCAACCGTTGGTCCGTTTGTTGAATGGTTTTTATTGAAAACAGGGGGTCCTTTGGGTTATTTTCAATGGAGAATTTGTTGTACAAAGCCCAGAAAACCGGGGTCCCGGCCTCCGGGGAGAGGATAAACCGATGAATAGCCGGTACTTGAGAATTGAGATTGGATTGGAGAACCAAGCTTGGCCCAAGATGGATTCTCCGTTTCTCACTTGTCGTCACACCACCACATTCAGCTTTCATGACTGGATAGTGATATTGACATCCACTTTTGTTTCTCGACATCTTTTGCTCAAACGACGGATGAAACCTAGTGACTGCGATGTATGAATTTAGCTTCTTATCGATTGATTGATAGATGGTGATTTTTCAAGAACTGGAATGGAAACAGAGGAAAAGGACAAAAAAGAAAGTGGAAAAAAAAAAAACAAACAAATCTATTCTTCCCTTGCCACTATGAATATTTCTACTCTGCTCATCATCCATCATCTCCCTTGTTTGCATTTGCATTATCTATCTATTTTTTTTTTTCTTTTTCTATGGTAATATATTATTAGAACTTCTTCTGGTCTTCAAATTGGAATCTACTACTATATAAACATTCATACCCATTTTGTGTGTACCGATTTCCTCTTGTTAAATCAGGCCCTGTGATTTGCGATACAGATTAGAAAATGGGAAGAATTCCGTCGGACCAATGGAGCTGGTGAGCCTGAAATATAGTTTATTACTGCAGCCTGACCTGGACTGTTTGGTGATAGAAGATGCCTTGTCTGGGTGCGTTGAAATTTTTATTCCTGTGAAGTAAGGCTAATTAGTGAAAGTAACACACTAACACGTACGTTGATTGAGAACAACGTGTTTGGATGTGGGGCTCAACTAAACTAGGTGTAGGCGTGTAGACCTTGCATTTGTTTGCACGTGCTGCATGCAATATTGCATAGTCCCATTTGGAACTAATGACAATCGTTGGGCCCTACTAACACCAACACTAACAGAGTTCGAGATTAGATGATCGTACGAGTTTTGACAGCCTGATTTTGTAATGGAAATTTGGTTGTAAATATTGTATGTTGAAACATATGAGCCTCAGTGACTCTCCACCTATCCTCAAACAGGTTCGGCTAGCTCTGTAAATCTTTTGTGATAAAACAACAAAGAGATAGGAATTAATAAGGCTGCACTTGCGGTATAGAAGGTCTTCTAGCACGGGCTGGGTTGGGCCCGGACCACAGTCCTTGTCAACCCCCGTCCCCAGCCCAACCCCAAATAGGAAATCAGGTTGGTTGGATAGCCGAGGGTGGGATGTCGGCATAAGAACATTCAATCAAGTCGAATTCACATAACATATTTATGTTAATGTGGAGTTGGGTTGTATCTGCCCTTTTAGAATCAGCTGGAACTGGAAGCGGTGATTGAGAAGATGTTGTTTGGCTGAGAATGAACCCGTCTCTTTAATTTGGCAGGGATAGATATCCGTTGAAAATAACAAGGAATTGTATTCTTGCCATTAATTTTTTGTGGTTATTTTGGCTTCCTGTATCTCCTTCCTTTAGGCTCCGTTTGGTTGCAGTTCAAATCTTGACTGGGTGCAAAATATGTATTCGCTTCAAATTTTTTTGCTTTCGTATTATTTGTAATTATCAGTATTTTGCTTCCCTCCTTATGAAATTTGAAATTATGATTAACGGCAGACATGTTCCGTTAAAAAACCTTATGAAATTTTGCACAACCTTCCTCCTACTTCAATACTTTCTCACATCATCCTGTATCCTACCTCGCTTGCAATCCTTCTCTTACCTCCCTTTCCTTTCATTTAAAGTGAATGACAATTCATTTGCTTCCTATTTTATTTCTCACAAATAAACAATTAATTAATACAAATTTAATATGAAGCGAAAAAAACATAATTCACACAGCTTTTATTTTATTTTATTTTTCAATCTCAATCATTTACAGTAATGCAAATGAAATTTGTATATATTGCAAACAAACTGAACCTTAGGTCTGGTTATTAAAAAAAATGTCTTTTAACTTTGCAAAGCATGGCAACACACATAACTTCCGAGCCTCATGACCCATGCCTATCAATGACCTGGCCAATATACCACTCAGAAAACTAGGAAGAAGAAAAAGATGAAAAAAAAAACAAGAAAAAGAGAAGTATTTATTTATTATGACTAATAACAATATTCCATAAAATCTTATTATCTACAATTTATGATGTGCCTACTGCCTAGCATTGTTTGTTAATATCAGATTTAAGGATCCGTTTGGTTAACAGCTAGAATTGGAATCAAAATTCTTCAAAATTGGAAACGGAATGATCTATTTCCATAGTCTGTTTGGTTCATACAGGAATGAGAATGGGATTTCTCTAATATGAATATTTTTTATTTTCTTCTTTCTTAAAAAATGCAACATTGTCTGAAAATCAAAGATAACAGAAATACATGATACTAGAAGAGCTTTGATCAATCAAAACACCCTGTGGAATGCGTGATACCAGTCAGCTGATTGGTAAGGTCTCCTGTTAGTTGTAACATAGACTTGAGATTGAATACTGCCTGCACCTGGGTTGGGGCACAAGTTTGAAGGATGGGCTACCCCAATGTATAGCCCCTTAGGAGAAATTTCTATCAGAAAAAGCACCCCGCAAAGTGTTGTGAATACCAGATAATTGGTAACTGGTGTATGTTCTGCTCGTATCAAAGTGGAAACGTGCAATCGTTTATTATATGAATCATACAAACCAACATTTAAATGGACTTGGGTCCAAGATAAAAATAATAAAAAATAAGGTGAATCAATATATTGTGTACTTTATTGAATATATTATCAAATCTCCTCGGAAAATCAAGCTTTTAAGGGAGAAACTATGCTGCTGTAAAGACATGATAACGGAAATTGACCAACCAAAACTCCCCTGTTAATTTTGATAAATACCACTTAATTAGTTATCATTTTTATGATACCGGCAAAAATAATAAAGCACACAATATTTATCAAATGATATTAGTACTTCAAGGAATTGTAGAATTTTACTGGCCGGCATTCATCTGATGAGTAAAACGATAATCAAAGTGCTAAATATGATTTTTAGGAGGAGAATTATTTTATGACAAATATATGCAATCCAGACTTTAATGTATATCAAATGTGAAATTGGATTTATTCCATTCATTGGTAGATGTTCTTAATGCATGGTTGTACCCCATTTTAACCCCAATAATAGCGGAATTTGTTTCCAAGTCTTAGGTACAATATAAAATTTGTTTTTAATATATATATGATTGGACCAGAAATTAGGTTACAACTTGGACCAGAAACCTATAAAGCTCTAAAAATACATTTTAAATTATAAAAACTTTTACAATGTTAGCAGATGCTTATGTGGCTATTGTCAATATGAGACTCTTAATTCATATTAGATATAACAAAAAGTTGATGTTGAAATTATTCTTTAATGCTGGGTGATTTGAAAATTAAAAAGAAATGTTTTTTTTTTCTCTCCCGCTCCCTCCCTCTCTCTCTCCACTAAACAACTGTGTTGTTTGAGAGAGAGAGAGAGAGAGAGGTCTTAATTTGGTTGCAGACCGAAGTTGAGAGTGTTAGACAGTGTTCGCTTTTATCTCCAATTAAAATGATGTACATTATGACATTTAATGTAAATGAATAAAGTACATATTTGATTCATGTTATTATGGTGTGTTTTTGTGTAATACTCTTAAACTGGACACATATGAGACTCGTGTTAGTTTATAATTTTCACAGCCGTTGGATAGATCTAGGGAGATTTATCTTGCCAAGGCTGACACTGATGTGCCGCCAAGTTGGTTGGGGTGGCTTGTCTCAGCTGATAGGGTGAAACTTGATGTACATGCAGTGCGAGTTTTTTTTGAAACCCTGAACCGGACCAAAATTTCAGTATTGCCCTGGATCTTGGAGATAGATGGGCAAAAATGGAATGTTACACC